TCTTGTGTATTAACCCTTTTAAAATAATGATAATTTATAATAAAATTATCCATAATTAATCGACTAGTTCAATTATATGATAATAATTATTAAAAAAAATAGTTTCACATTTAAAAAATATAATTTATTGTTGTTTAATTATAAATTTTTGTAATTGTTATGTTGATGTTAATTAAATTTGCATGTTAATTAATTATTTCACTTGTTTGTTGTTTATTATATTTTAATTAAATTTATACTATATTAATAGTTCATTGTTAAATTTATTTGCTGTGAATTGTGATTGTATTTCCACAACATTCCACAATCAAAATAGACAGTGGTCATACAACCAACATGTCAAATATTTACTGAACAGTTTATATTACAGATGTTGCTATTAAATACATAATTATATTGTTTATTCATTTTGTTATTAAACCTTTTTTTGTGTCACGGTGTGACGGGTTAGATTCTTTCTTTAAATTTTTTAATCGAAAAATCAACGACTTTCATAAAACATATACAAGACATTGAGTAATGATTTTTTAAATAACAAATCATTATAAAATTAACCAAGGAATTCATTTTATACATCAGAATGAAATAATATTGCTAAGTGATTATTTGGTTATTAAAATTATGAGAACGATTTTTTATTGGTAATTTTTAATCTTTAACGACAATACATTATTTTGCAAAACTTTATTGTTGAAAGGTGTTTATAATTTATCAAATATATGTACTGTCCAATAAAATTTTATTTCTTAAATCGATGTAACGGGTAAATAAATATCAATTATTGACACATTTATTCACATTTTGAAAATATCAAAACATATTTTTTCTTGGTAAAATAATTTTTGGATATGTGAAACTATAATTTAGAATTTGTCTTTTAGTAATAACAAAAAATTTAAAAACGTTTTGTTTTTCAATTAGAAAAGGAAAAAACAAAACCCTCATAAATAGTATATAAAAAACACCATTTTTTCCTCTTAGCACAATTTGTTGACTTAGCCTCAAAAGATTTTGTAGAACAAAATTGTCATTTTTCATTTTAACAGCCTCGAATAACAAAAAAAATTTAACCCAAAATGTTTTAAAAACCCTTAATAACATTATTTTTGACCAATAACAATTCGCAGTAATATTTCACGCCGCAGTGATTTTTCACGGTACTCTATACAAATATTGTTATTAACTAAATTTATCAAAATAAGTGATTATTAAATATTAAAATATTAAACAGAAAAACTCAACAAGTATTAATAATTTATTAGAACAAAAAAGCAAATGCAGGTGCCAACAGTGCAAAGACCTCAAACGCACCACTTGTGGTTTTGTACGAGTATGTCGATTTATCCACATTTGTCGAGTTCTGCAATCGTTTTCATATCCTTGTGGCTGCCTGTGTAGTCCGAGTTTTCAAAAGTTTTCAAGACAAGATTTTTCCCATAATTGCATATTGCTCAGACTCTTTTGATTTTCTAATGCACTCACCAAAGTAAAGTGATTCTCTTGGATTTCCATCTTCATTTGAAATTGAACACGATTTCCCATAGTACGTGTATTTTACAGCAACATAATCAGGTAGATTGTACTTAATAACGCCTTCTGTTGCAACTTGTGAACTGGATCAACCAAGTGTTGCAGTCATTGGAATTGTATGTGTTGACGTACATGGTATTCGGTTCATACTTTACATAATTGAATGTTGATTGGTAACACTTACCAAACCTTTTAATTGCTATTTCACTGAAATTGAACTTGGCCATATACCTCACAAACACTCAATTGTTGTTGTTTTGTAATTTGTTTGAATTTAATTTGGGCAAAAAGAGGCAAATTATTTTTTTTCCTTAAATTTGGATGAGTGGAACATATTATTTTAAACATGTTTCAATATGTTATATATGTAAAGTATAATTTGTATTAGTACTGTGACACCTGGCTGCCAACTGGTTCGTCGTTGGTTAATTATCCTGTTGTCTACAACATCAACGATTGCATTGCTGTGAAGAACACTTTTGATAACAAGGGATGTGAAAATACAATTGATGACGCAAAACCCACAGAACATTAATACACAGACGTTTGCACAATAATGGGTGTTGGATCGACCAGATATGCAATTGAAGGAAATAAACTTGTTTTGAAAACGTTCACAAACAAGGATTGCACACTCACATTTACTCTGAATGTTGAAAATGAAGAACTTGACAAATGTGATAAATCAACTTACTCGTACAAACAAATTAATAATTGCTCTTTATTAATATATTTCAAAATGTTAAACATATCATAAATATTAAAAAATGCATTTCAGAATTATAATTCGACATTACTTTGATTGTTCACTTGTCTTACGTTATCAATAATATGTAAACTTGATTAAGTTGATAATTAATACATAATACAAATATTAAAAGTTGTATATTTGTTTTTTTAACAATTTTAAAATTTTTAAAAAATATTTTTTTTGTTTTGAAAATACAACAATTATTTCCTCATTACAACTATGATAATTGAAACGATCGATTAAATTATTATAAATGAAGATTCAAATAACATTTGTTTTTAAATATCAATAAATGTTATACCGGAAACCAATTTATTAGAATAATAAATAATATTACTTTATTAATTCCGATATAACACCAAGAATATTCAGACGAAAAAATCGATTGAAAAATCTTATATTAAATTTTACTGAATAACTTTTCACACATTGTTTTAGTAACGACTTCCACTATAAAACGGCGCTTTATCAAATTCACATCCAACAAATTATGGCCGAACACATACCCACTGAACGAGAGTTGATGTTAACAGGTAAGTTATACGACAGCACAGTTCCAGACTTGATAAACGAGCGAAGAGTCTGCAACGAGAAGATCATTGCTTTCAATAACGAACCAAAAGAAGAGAAAAGAGACGTCATCCTTCGTGAACTTCTTGGGGCGTGTGGCGAAAATGTCACATTTCTTCCTCCATTCCACTGCGACTATGGAAAGTACATCCAAGTCGGCTCAACGACGTTTGCAAACTACAATTTGGTTGTTTTAGACGCAAACCCTGTCTATATTGGAAGTCATGTTCTAATTGGTCCCAACGTCACAATACTTGCAGGTACTCACCCAACAGATCCAACTATAAGAAACTCGCTTTTGGAGTACGGATTTCCAACACGAATCAAAGATGGTGCTTGGATAGGTACTGGCGCCATCATCATGCCAAATATCACAATCGGCGAAAATTCAGTTGTTGGTGCGGGGAGTGTCGTCACTAAGGATGTCCCAGACAACACCGTCGTTGCTGGTAATCCGGCCCGAGTCATCAGAAAAGTAGAAACACACCCGGGTTGGACTACACAAGACAGAAACGTGCCAATCAAGTGATACTTTGTTTTATTTCTATTTATAATATTATTATAGTACATTATATTATATTATATTATATTAAAACAATAAAAACTTAAAACTACGACTGTTTAAATTTTGTGAATTACTTTTGTGTCTGGACTGAAACAGCATTCTCCGATTACTTTAATTGACTTGGGCAGAACAATTTCAGCCAGTGAGTCACAGCCTTTGAAACATTTTCGCCCAATTTTAGTGACATAATTATTCATTTCTACACGACTCAAATTTTTATTACCTAGAAAGCAGTTTTGCCCGATAGAAGTCACTAACTTTGGAATACAAACACTTTTGAGATTGCAATACATAAACGCATAATTGTTTAACTCCAACAAATTATCAGGCAAAACGATGTGTTGCAAATTTGAACATCCATAAAATCCCGTGTGGCCAATATCGTGTATTTTACTTGGAAGAGTCACCGAAGTCAAATCTGTTGCATTCTCAAAGCAAAAGTCGGGCAACCACGTCACAAAATTTGGGATTTGCAACGAGTGGAGTTTTGAATCATAAGTGTGTGTCCTCAAGTTGTAGTTACATGGATTTATCTGTTTGACGTCATCATAGTATTCCCACTCTACTCGTTCATATTGGACACGCTTGAACTCAAATTTAGATATTCCGTTATTTGCATACATCGACTTTGTCATGGTGCGAGTTACTGTTTCATACACTTCGTAGTCCCATATCACTATTTTGTAAAAGTCGATCTTCTCGAGTATTTCTTCAACTTTATTGGTGCTTTTTGTGTGCTTTTTCGAGTCTTCCGAATCGTCTGAGTCTGTCGAATTTGAGTCGGTGTCATCACTTGAAGTCGAAGAAGTCTCTGGAAACTCGGGAGGATATGTCTTTCTTATAATTTCATTTCCAAAAGTCTCATCTTTACGAGACCATATGTAGAGTGTCTCGATATTGGGAAAGTGCTTTATTGTCTTTCTGTTTAATGGGATTGGGTTGCAGTGAAACTTTTCCATGTTGTTTTGATATTTCTTACAAACAAATTCCAAGTTAATGAAATCGTCAATTGTTGTAAAGTACTGAGAAACAATCATCATATGATATCCATCTATTGTGGACATGTGTTTTTGATTATTTTGTTTTGAAATTATTTAAAAACACACTTTCAGTGGTGTGTTTTCTAATATCTATTTTTAAATTAATTTTATTTGATTAATAAAAATGTTATAATTAAATTTTATACTTCAATTGAATTAATTAAAAATACTTATGTTTGAAAGTTGAATGACATCACATTCAACATCTGGTTTTATCTAATTGAGTCTAATAAAAATTCAAATAGACTTTGAATTTTTACTATTAAAAACATTAAAATTTTAATTTTCTATAGTTTTTATGTGTTTTATGCTATTTAATGTATCAATAACAAGCTATTAGTGATTTAACATATAAGCAGTTTTGAGTTATTTTGAATACCAAAGTGCAATGTAATACCATTGCATAAACTGTTATTATGGTCAAAACATTCAGACGTTTATATTATAGTATTTGTTTAAATAAGTAAATGAAAATATGCTGATTAACAATAACAAGACATTAATATGTTATAACATAACAAATTTTAACAACAATAAATAAATATCACAATGATTCTAATTGTTTAATCACCATCTCAATATCAGGTCTGTCTTTTGGCGTTTGTTGCCACGCCTTAACAACAACATCTTTCTGTTTTTCAGTCAACATCTCTGTATTGGGACGTTTGCCATAACACACTGAGTCTGCAATATCCCACGCGTATTTGTAGACATCCTTTGGAAATGCGTCACTCCACGTAAAACACTCATACATCGTAATTGCAAATGAATACACATCTGCCGCCTTCTTGTACTTCTCTTTGTTTAAGACTTCAGGCGCCATGTACTTTGGTGTTCCAATACCTTTTGTGAATGTCATGTTGGTCATCAGCATATTAATGTTTCGACTTGCTCCAAAATCAGTCAATTTCGCATTCACTTTGTCATTCACATCAAGTGAAAAGACAAGAATGTTGTCTGGTTTAATGTCTCTGTGTAATATCCCGTTTTCATGTAAATACAAAATTCCTTTGGCTGCGTCAATCATCATTTTATTGCGAATTTGTAAGTCAATTTCATTTGAATTTTTGTGACTCATCAAATCCTTCAAACTTCCATATTGTGCATATTCAGTGACCATACACACTTTACTTGGTATAAACACGGCGCCATAAAAGTGGACGATAAAGTCACTCCGGAATTTGTCCAACATTGAAACTTCTTTGGTAAATTCATCCATCACATTTTCTTGTGCACTTTTCATTCGTTTAATTACAACAGTGTTTCCCCTGTAATTTCCTTTGTATACAATACCAAAAGAGCCCTCCCCTATTTTGACACCTTCTATTAATTCGTCTGGATCAATTCGAATTGAAATCTTTGAAACAGCAGATATCCCAATTTCCTTGCAAATTGCTTTTTGTTGTGTATACGAATTTGCCACTAAAAGTATTTTACTTTCAATTTTGGAAGTACACGAAAGTGTCAGTAATATCTCAAATTCACACGCAAAGCCTTTTGGCAACACGACTATTTGTGGATTACTCTCAATTTGATATTTCTGGTTTGTGAGTGTTTGTGTTGAAATTTGAATTTTCATGTTGTGTTTGGTGACGTTACCAACACACAACAAATCTCTCTGCTTTTCGTTGACTTCGACTTCTTCGCCATCGTTGAAAACTATTTTTGTTTTATTTACCACAACGCCATCACCAACTGTCACAAATTGAATGTTCGACTTTGACATTTCAAATAGTGTCGTTGTCGTTTCAATGGACTTCTCTTTCAAATATTTTGAGACGTGTTTTACTATTAATACAATCACCAATATCGTCACAATGAGTATAACTATTATAAGAAGTACACCTATTAGTATAACCCACCACACAACATGTGAATTGCAGTAAGTGTCATTTGCACTTGGTGTGTGCCAAAATGAGCATCTTGTGCATTTTGAATGACCAACTTCTTTGCAATTTGTTATGAATGAAATATCAACACATTGTGAGTCAACCAAAACTTCATTTGTATCACATGAAGTACACGCGTATTTTGTTTGTACACACGTTAAACAAGTCGCATTACACTTTTCACACTCATTTGTGTTAACTGTGAAATACCCATCAGAACACTTTGAACATCCGTTTTGTGTTGTTTTTAATTGACACCCAACAATGTCGCTTTGTGGTTTGCATTCGTTATTGGACGTTCGATAATTTGTTAAATTGCACGTCAAACAGCTTTCTCTGTTGTTGCAAGTCCCACATTTGACGTCACATTTCTCACAATACAACCCACTTCTGTAATATCCATCATTACATTTGACACACCCACCTGATGGTATAAACTGTGTACAAATGCCATTCAAGACGTTGTTTGTAATACACTTGTGGTCACTCAAAAACGTCCCTTCTTTGCATGAAAGACAAAATGTTGAATTTGAGATGCAGGTGTCACAGTTATCATCACAACTCACACACTTCCCAAATAATAAAAAGTATTTGTCGTTACAACTGACACACCCATATTGCGTTGTTTCTTTACAATTGGATTGTTCAATTTCTCCATTGTTTTGTATGCAATTTCCATTATCGTCTATCGTGTAATTGTTAGTACATTCAACACATTTATTATTGAGTGTAAACACACACTTATCTTGTGTTACAGAACACCTCCCATTCTGTTCTGTTTCTTCATTGTTTTTGCAAGTTGTCGATTCACAACTACCACTCTCTGTGATTTCATAATTAGTTGAACATTTCATTGGCTTCTCAACATCACATTTCATCCAATTCGCATTATTTGTTGTGCAACTTATGCACTCGGAGTTATCTATGTAATACCCATCTTTACAGTAAATAATGTCGTTGTAAAAATAAACCGATGTGTCAAGTGTTAAATGGCACATTCCATCATCTCCAAGATAATAGCCATTATTACATACAATACACTTGTTGTTTTCACATATCATACAATTGACATCACTGCATGAACCACAATTGGCGTTGAGTTCTCCTTTATAACATTTAATACAATTAATCCCATTCGTTGCTATACAGTCTTTGTTTGTTGTGCATTGTCCATTATCAATAACATAACCACTTGCACATTTAATACACACGTCTTCATTACCAACTTCACAATTGTTATTAAATTGTACGCAATCATTACTGGCATTCAAATAATATCCATTTTCACATTCGACACAACAATTTTCCAAGTTGAATGTTTTACAATTTTGTGATAGACCAACACACTTTCCATTTACAAGTTTTGTGTTTGTATTACATTTTAAACAAATTGTTTTTGACAACGAATTTTTCATCAAAATACAATCCGGACTGATTGTATTGTAATTTTTATCATCCTCAAAATACAACACAGCAACATCACTCGCATTAAATGATTTGGTGAATGTTAAATTATTTACTTCTGTCACATTTTCTCCAAAGGATACAAAGCAATTTCCACCCATTGAAATAATATCGATAGTTCCTTCCAATTCAATTTTTATCTCTGTAATTTGACTGAATATTTCAATATTAAAATTCAATTTTGGAGTTACTCTCAATGTGTGCGTTGTCGAATCGTAATTAAAAGAAAGTGGTTTTCCTATATTTGTGTCTGTTACAGTTAATATCCCAAATGAAAATTTGATACTAAAATAATTAAATAGCAATGTAATATTAACACGGACATCGTCTTTGATTTGAATTTCTTTGATATTATTTGCATTATACATGTCAACATTTTTATCAATCACAAAAATTGTATTTAGCATTTGAACGTTTTTGAAATCGACAATTGAAACATTTTGATTCAAATTTAAATAGCAATTTGTGTCTGCGTCGTCACATGGACAGTGTGGATATTCAAACGCATAATTTTTATTTGCACTGTAACTCGTTTGATATTCACTTTGATTTAAAGTACACACCACGGTTCTGTTTTGTGGTACATGTTTCGGACAAAATCTCATCAGTCTATTATTTGATAAAAGAAACGCAGTTCCATCAGTACAATTATAAGGGAAGTCTTTTGTATGTAAATGAGAGTCATCATTGTTAAAGTTAAAACAATTAGAATCGTTCATTGACAACACGTCAAAACAATTTGAATTTCCAGTGGGATTTGTTATATAAAAATTTTTATCGGTGGTATTAGTGTACAAGTGAAGCCAATTAGATTGCCATAACACAATTGGGGGCTTTTCAAGTTGTGGGTTTTTAATCAACAATTCTCCACCAATTGAAAAAGAACCAAAAACTTTTATTGTCGAATTATCTTCGACAGTAAAATTATGTTCCGAGTGAAATGATCCATTGAGAACAACAGTAATGTCTTTGCTGATATAAAAAAGTTGAAAAGCATTCATCCAAGCTTTGGAATTGATTGTAATAACATTTGGAGATGAAATTAAAAGTGAACCAAATATTGTCAGTGTAGTAAATCGAAAATCTTCATTTAAACACAAAGAATAAGTTGACGAATTGAACTGATTACAATTAAAATTTCCATTTGAACTAAAACCTAAAGATTGATCAATTCCGATTGGTTGACAGTCGCATTCATAAGATTGGGTTTTAAGCACAAAAAGCGTGAAAAACAAGAAATCAAACATTTTAATTGTATATTTGAGATTAGATTGGAATCCTAAAAAGTAATTTGAACCATGGTAATAATTAGTTTTTTTAAATTAACACTAAAAACAACAATAATAATATTTGACATTAGAATATTTTTATCATAAATAAAGTTTTTGAAGAATACAAAAATTTGAAGCTTACAGATGTGGAACTAAGGTTTTGACCATGATTATAGTTTCGACTAATAATTAATAATTATTATACTATTGTAAAAACTAAAATATGAAATGTTATATTTTGACCATGTTTTTGAAATAAATAAGAAAAATTGATTATTATTATTCAAATAGTATTTAAATAATAAATCGAAATTATGGTACTTGTCGAAACTTTAGTTCCACATCTGTATATCAACATATTCATGAATTTAAATTAAGAAAAAACGGTATTTCGCCATAATATGGCAACAATTCAAAAAACTTTTCGTAATAGTTTTTTTTTAAAAAAAATTCAATCTTTATTTACTCAATACAGTAAAACCTCCCAAGAGTGGTACCTCTGAAGAGCGGGCATTTTTTAGACTGAAACTATAAATAGAGTTCTCTATCGAGCGGTAATTGAGGTTTGATTGGCTAAAAATGCCCGCTCTTGAGAGAACAAAATTACCACGCCCGCCCGCTCTTGGGAGGTTTTACTGTAATGTGGCAAGGTTTTACAGATTGAGTATTTACGAAATTTGAAGAAAACCAATTAATTATCAATTTTTTTGTAATTATTAAAAACCTTATTTTTACATCAATAAATCTTGAATTTATTTGGCACGCATTAAATACTTTATCGATAGTTAAACGAATTATCAAAATTTATTTTTTTTATAAAAATAGAAAAAGTCGAATTTGAAAGAGGTTTCATTGGAAATATTTTCGATGATGATTTGTGATTAAATTGTGTTGAAAAAGCGTGTTTCAACGTTTTTTAAAATACATTTTTTACTATAAACAAAACAATAATTAAGTGTTTGCTATTATGTTGAAAAATTGTCCTCTTCTCAGCTACTGTTTGTCCGTTTCTGTGTCACCAACTTTCCAAGTCCGTTCTGTGTTGACGCGTATACGTTTTTTAAACATGAAAGTCAAAAGAATTGGATCTAAGTAGTAAAACATATATACTCAAGCAGAGTCTATCACGGAACAGGGAAAAATTTGGAACTTGTCCCAAAAACGCATTTTAAAATGAAAAGGTGTATTTTTTCTTTGTTTTTACGACAAAAATAAAGTAGTTTTAATAAAATTCATAGTTATGTTTGTTTTTACGATCTCCAAAACCTTTTCTTTACAGATGGGGATTTTTTGCCGCGGTCATTTTTAATGTTAAAACGACAGTTAACAACAAAACTATAAAATATTAAAATGTATAGTATACAAATAAATGGTTTATTAATATAATATCTATACTATATAAAATAAAACTATTAATTATAATTTATAATATTATAAAATATTAGAAATTGTTTAATAAAGATGAAATAATAATTTAACTTATTAA